CCCGCCACTGCCTAGAGCTCTATAAATACATGGCTTCATTCAACACTCAAGGTAATCCAACTTCTACCCGAGAAAACCCTACACTTGTGCGTTTTTGCAAGGCATTGCAAACATGTTTGAGTTGAAATTAGTCCCACATTGGTAAACTATAGTTCCTTAAGGTCTTTATAAGACCTACTCTTGGAAATAGAATAACTAGGATTGGGCTATGCAAATGGCCCAATTGAGTGGCTTGTGGGTTTGGCCTTTGGGTCAATGGTGAATTAATATATATATATATATATATATATAACATATATATTTAATTAGTCAAAAGACAGACCTTGGGCCTTGGGCCTTTGTGATTTAAAATTAAACCCAATTAACTAAAATAATTTCGAGTTAATTATTTGAATTATTTTTAAAAATTCAAATATCAGATAAGTTTGTCTAATTGGGTTAACAAGTATCAGCCCTCTATATAAATAGGAGCCCTGGTTCTGTTTAAAAGACATCAAAAACGCAGATAACAAGAAATCATCATTCCTGTAGCCTGAGAAATAAGCATATAGAATTCGCCAGAAATCAAAGCCCTAGTGCTCAGACTTTGGTTTATGATAGTTGTATCCTGGTGGAGCAGACGCCTGTTGAACTATAAGCATTAAGTAGGGGCGAAATTATGTTTCAAGGACAATGCAATCTGCAAGCCTCTATTTGAAAAACCAATCAATTTTTATTTTACTGGCTTATTTAATTTCGTGATTTTGTTTACAGTTTAATTTAATTGTTGAATTAAATTATTAGTGTAATATTGGTTGTTGTATCACCAGCAATCTATAGAAATATGGATCAACAATCAGTGGGGGCTAAGAATCCTCACTCTAAAAAGTCTGAGAAGTTCAAAAGAGTGGACTTCATGGGGTGAAATTACACAAATTCTTGCTTGTTTGTGAATTTTTGCGGATAAAATTTTGGTACAAGGACTATTTGTGAGCACACATATTAACCTTAAGGACTACAAATGACACAAAAAAAACATAAGAACACAACCTGATAGTTTCGCAAACCTCAGGAATGTTTTGTGATAGAAAGCCTTGTTGTAAATAAAACATCTTTTGCAAGGGGGAGTTCATGGCATATCAAGGTTTGGGTTGGCTGTTGTGGGTGTTGATTTGGGATAACGTGGGTAGGATATGGAAGGAGGCTGGATTGGGGAAGGGGTTGGGTGCAATGAAGGAGGTGGTGAAATTTTATTTTATTTTTGGTTTTTAATTTTTAAAGTTTTTTAATGGTTTATAATTTGAAATTATTTTTTAAAATGTATTTTTTTAATTTAATCCACGTGGCGTCATATCATTGGATATGTGAGACTCACATGTGTGCCACATCATCAATTTAACAGATGTTTGGACGGAATCTGACAGTAAGGACTCTTTGGTGAGCACATGTATTAACCTTAAGGACCACAAATGACACAAAAAAACATAAAGGATGCAATCTGATAATTTCGCAGATCTCAGGGATGTTTTGTGATAAAAAGCCTTTACAACAATGAACTTGGCAAAAGGTTATCAAAGAAGAAGTTCCAGCGGCAAAAGAGGATCCTATTCCAAAGGAAACATTAAGTGCCATAAATGCTTGGAAGCATTTTGAATTTTGTTGCAGGAACTATATCTTGAACAGTTTGGATGATAATCTTTGTGATATTTATTCAGCCTGTAAAACAACCAAGGAATTATGGGAATCACTAGAGAAAAAATATAAAATCGAAGATGCTGGTTCTAAGAAGTTTGTCATTGGCAAATTTCTGAAATTCCGTATGGTGGATTCTAGGTCTATCATAGCACAAGTTGAAGAACTCCAGAAGTTAATCTCTGAACTTCATGCTGAGGGATGTTCAATTAATGAAAACTTTCAAGTTGGTGCAATAATTGAGAAATTACCACAATCTTGGAATGATTTCAAGATATACCTCAAGCATAAGCGTGGAGAGATGAATATGGAAGATCTCATTCTCAGGCTACGAATGGAAGAGGATCATAGGAAGGGTGACAAAAATGATATGTCTGCCTTAGAAGCTAATGCCAATATTATTGAGGGAAAAACCTTCAAGCCAAAGGGTCAATCCAAGAAGAATAAGGGCAAAATTTTAACAAGCAAGATGCGGCCCTTGCACCAAAAACAAAGGATTTCAAGAAGATAAAGGGCTGTTGCTGGGTTTGTGGAAAACCAAGCCACAAGGCACAAGAATGCTGACACCGAAGGGACCATAATCCTGCCAATCAAG